GAACAAATCTGATTGAAACATAAATTAAGAAAATGCTGTCCAAGCAATGCTGGATAATAAAATCTTCCACTGTCCTACAAAACCGACAGAAGTTTCAAGTAGGGTATCACCTCCACTCCTGAATTCAAAACATGCTGCTGTTCTGGAGAGAACAGGTCTAGAAATTAAACATGAGAAATCCTGGTTTGTCTGTCTGACTGTGTTGTTATGAACTTCTGAGAAAAACAACATGAGTAATGCTATTAACATTTTTGCAACATCTTTTTGAACATGCTTGCAACACCTTTTCATACACACAGTTCATGAATCTGCCCAGTGAGAACCAAACTAAATCCAGTTTTGCTTTGCATTATTTCTAGGAAGTGACCAGAGTAAAACAAACTACAGTCTCTTCCAGCCCTTGCCAGATTTGAACTAGTGACCTGAAAGCTACAGGCTCAACTTACCATTGTTCTTTCCCTAACCCATTCTACACTGTGGGATTTTGGTCCAGCTGTAGGAAGAGGGTAAGTGGCTGCATTTCAGAAGGTGAGGGAGAGGAAGCGTGAGAGTCAAGCGGGAAAGAAGAGACAACTGCCAGAATAACAGTGTCCATACAGATTTCCTGTTTGTGGTGCTCACTTCCTCACCGACAGGGCATCGCTCCACTTGTAGACACAGGAGTTGGAGAGAAGAGGTACATATGTTGGATTTATTTTTGGGAATGGTGGATAAGGACAGAAGCAGATGATTGAAACTGGAAATAAACTGACAAAAACTGAGTCACACAGTTTACTTTTCTTGACTTAAAAGGAAGAGTGACTGACAGTTATCAAAACTATTACCTGTCAAAATTCCTAATAATATGATTAAGTGATTTTGGCAGAAGGAAGCAAAGGAACCATTACTTTTCAAGAGTTTTTTTATTATTCTGCTCTTTTTTTGTTAAATAGATGGTAATATAATTTGCATAATTTTAAAATTTTCTCAAACTCTAAATTTTTCTATTAATAATTACACCTTGGGTAATCTGTTAAACAGAACTGTAGTTAATATTATGGAATCCCTTGCCAAATAAATCCATTTCATTTAGAAATAATTTGTTTCACGCTTTTTTTTACCGCTCTACTAGACACTCTAAGCTTGAAGTTTCTGTCAAACAGGGCATCTGTGGTTGCAGAAATCGCTGTTTGACAGCTACGATTTTCCCACTGGCCATATGAAGGATATCAAAAATATGCTGCAAGTTCCAAATGAATCACAGATAAATTCTCACTTCCATCTCTAAGTCTACAAAGGCCTTTTTCAGGAATCCCAGATCTCACCCTTTACATTTCACATACCTAATAATCCCGCCCACAGCAATTGCTGTGGTGAAGGCTGTGCAGATAGAGAATAAATAGCTGGGGAATTGTGGTCAGAGGACCCACGAACCTCTGCCCACACCCCACCTGCCTTCCCAGCCTGTCTATAATCACTAGTGATCACTCCTGCAGCTCAGTAAATAAGCCGGAGGCGACATGAGCGCTGTCTATAATCCTAGTATGTGTCTTGTTCTGTAGAGTTTCATGTCCAGCATGGTTCTCTCCATCAGTTTTTGATGCTAAAGACCTCAACCCTATCTTCCCTTATCACCTATACCTTCAGCTTAAATAATACATGACTAATACCCTGACTAATTGCAGATAAACAGAATGGTTTTCCACCTAAAAGTTACTTCAATTACAGGCACAGTTAATATTATCTAAGCTTTACTTTTCAACATGCAAAATAAATCCAGAGTGTACTTCACTACCAAGAAAGTAAGATGTAAGTTGAGAACTGTCCTTGGGCATTAAGAGGAGTTATTTTAATGTCTTTCTTAAAAACAAACAAACAAACAAACAGAACAGGCATAGATGCTAGCAAAACATTTTGTGCATCTGAAGACCATCCCCTGAAAACAAGGAGAAAGATATCAAACAAATCAATAAACATAATAAACTCCTCCAAAGTAGTAGGTATGCACTTTCCACTGAGTTTACAACTAAGGAAACTAAGGCATCAAGAATGAAATAACTTGCCTAAACTCACATTGGAAGTTTGTATTTCTTGCTTTGATGTTACCTCAGACTGACACTTGCGTTCATTAACACAATGTTTCTCGAGTGCCAACCGTACCTTTACTGCTCTGTAAAAGAGTTTGAAGAAACTAGGTGTCTTTGAACTAGCTGTGCTAAATATCTGCCCTAGATTTCAGACATGCAGCTCAAAACTAACATATTTTCCTCACCTCCTTCTTTCTCTATTTACTGTATTTTTTACACATCACAAGCTGTAGAAATTCACCACTAAACAAATCATGCACTAAACTAGATCTGCATTTGAGTGAAGACCCAAATTCTTCTCCTGAACCCAGGTCCCTTCTATAAAGAAAGGGAGTTTTGGGGCAAGTTTGCTCTCACATTACTTCTTTCCTCCCTGACCAGGTTCTCCATCAGCCAACATCTTCTTCCCTCATTACCATCACAACCTCCTGCCCACCACTGCTCCCTTCTTACCCTTCCCCTCTCTGGCTCCCACTCACTCCAAACAAGGAGAATGGATTGAGAAGTGGGCGAAGCTGCAGCCATCCTTGGCCCAGGCTAGACCTCAGTTGCCACCCTACAAGTGATCTGCAGTTATTTTTACAGGAGCACGGCCTTTGTATCCTGATCTTTTGAAACAATATGTACAGGCAGCATCTTTATCATTTCTTCTGTCCAAGAGCATCAGAAAATTCCATCATGCCTTGTAAAGCTAAAAATAAGCCTGTTCAGAACAGAAAACCTTACAGCATACAACAATGATCACTTTGAGTGCTTACCAGCCATTTCTGTACTTCACTTTACCATATGCTAAAATCATACTGTCTTTCATATCTCTACCACTTGCTTCATTGGGTTCTTCTTTATGCCTGCCCCACTCCCAACTTCACATCATCTTTCATACTACCCATTATACTTGCAAGAGCTTTCCACTTCCCTGTAAAGCAATTTTCCTTAACTCTTTTCAACGTCAAAACTGGTATCCTCTATCTGTATTTTCTTCCTCATGGGTCATGTGTGAAATACCTGATCAAGGCTGTACTCAAAGGCCTGATTATCTTTAATTCCTCCTTTCATTTAATATAATCGCACTGAAGGTTAACTCATAAAAAGAAAGGCTTCTGAATTCAACTACTTTCTTTCATAAACACAGAATAATACAAGTTTACAGCAGCCCTTGTAGATAGCAACCCCTATCTACAATGAGATGAGAACCAAGTAAGTAATTTAATCAGAAACACATTCCAGAATATAACACTTCAGGATTAACTAAGATTTTAAAACCTATGTACAGCATAAATACATATGGCTTATTTCCAGAAAGTATAATAGGTGCTCAGATTTACTAAATCAACACGAAGCACAGTGCTCAGGAATAATCTACTCTGCTTTTCCAAACTATTCAGAAAGTACTGCTACTCCTGCTCTCACACACATGCTACTATCAGGATCACTGATCCTGATAGTAAAAGCAAAGCCCAGGGATTTTTAGTAGGAAGACAGCTTGCTTATAAATGGCTTAGAGTATAAACTTTGAAATACATTGCTGTATGTTTTCTTTTTAAAAATACTTACAATGAAATATTTATTAAGTTTAAGCAAAACAGGCATCTGCTATTAGCATACAACCCCCGTACAGAGTCATAGTTTTCTCTCCTGAACAGCTCTGAAAATACGGCGTCACTGCACAATGCACAACCCACACACACAACTCAAGACGCCCTGAAAAACTGCTCCCACAGTCTCAAGGTCCACAGCTATTAGAGTTTTCTGCAAACCTGTCCCTTTCTTGCACCACACCACAAGGAAAATCATGTGAAATTTATTATCTCCATATCTTGCAAGAGAAGAGGCAGCTATGTCTGATGCAGTTGCTGTCATGAAGCAATTTAATATGAACCTGACTCCAGCTGTTCAGATAGCAGTAGAAAGCCAGACCACTACTAAAATGTGGAGGAATAAGAGATCCGCAAATCAGTTTTCAATGAAATATGAGACTATGAAGGTTTGCAATTTTGCTGCTAGAAAGCAGTAACTCAAATCAAAACAAAGTATTTTGAGATTACAGTTTACCATGAAGAACCCTGTTACATTTAGGATACTTGATTTATTTCCCCCCAAGTAACAGTAAACACTATCTAGTTGAATAATTCCAAATACTATGCAGGCCAATCTCCAACGCCTCCTGTGAGGATACTTACAGCTCCTCACCTCCTCCTTGCTTTTTTACAACCGGTCACTGCAGCCCAGCAGCTCCCCTGTCACGCTGCCACCCAGGTGACGCCACCACCCCAGTAACCCCTACCTTAAAAAAAATAGCAGAAGGAAAAACCAGTAACTGCAGGCCAACTCTCATAACTCCGCAGAGGCATCTCACACCTCAACAGGGGCAGCGGGGCCTCTGCGAGCAGGGGCCTGAAGGACACCTGCCCCCGCCGAGGCGTCCCATCTGCGCCCCTCGGGGTCACGGAGAGTTCCGTCCTACTCTTGTATATATTTATATACATGTCCTATACATGTGTGTGTATGTGTGTATATATACGTGTGTCTGCGTGTATGCTGGCAGCGGAGACGCAGCGCTGGGTGACCGCTTGGGCTACCAGACCTGTCTCTGAGGCAGATGCACACAGACACATCCACAGCATAACACACACGCACACAAATCTCTGCATATACCCGCGAAGGAGGTGCAGAAGTTCCCCGCGGGGGCGCCCCGAGGGCTGGCAGGTTTCCCGCCGTATAATGGGGGAGGCTGAGCAGGGATGAAGTTTCCTCCTCTTCCTCCTCCTCTGCCCGAGTTACGCCGCGGAGCCGGGCGGCCCTGGGCAGTGCAGACGCCACCGGCAGCCCCGGCCAGGCCCGCTCCCGGTGCTGCCTTCCCGGCGCCGGCCTCCGCCTCCGCCCCGCCGGGGCGCCGGGACCCCGCCGCTCGCCGCGGGCGGCCCCCGCCCTTACCGTTGCAGAACTGGAGCAGCGAGGAGGTGTCGTAGAGGCTGCTGTAGCTGGAGAAGCCGTCCTCCATCCTGCCGCTGCGCTCCCGGCGTCCCCTCGGCTGTCCCGGCGGCCGCCCGCTGCCTGATCGCCCACACGCTGCGGAGCGGAGGCGGCTGGGGCCGCGGCGGCCTCGCTGCCTGCCTCACTCAGTTGCCATGGCAACCCATTCACTCCGCCGCGGCTGGGGCGGCGGCCGCTCCGCTCCGCTCCGCCGCCGAGGCGCGGGGGGAGACCCGCGGGGCGGGCCGGGGCAGGGCCGCTCCGTCACGGCGGAGCGGCGGGAGGCAGGGGGACCCCGGGGCGCGGGGAGCGAGCGGGGCGGCGCGGCTTTCGGCCGGCGCGGAGCCGGCGCGGCCGTCTCTGCAGAGCGGCCCCGCCGAGCCCTGCCCGCCGCTGAGCGGGGCGAGCGGCGGGCACCGTGCTCTGCCCCCGCGGGACGCGGCGGCACCGGGTGTCCCGATCGGGGCGGCGTGGAGCCGAGACACCGCCCGGCCCTGCGGCGGGAGGCGCTCGCCAGTGGCCCGGGGCTTAACCCCAAGTGCGGTCAGGGGCGGAGGTGCGGGCCGGAGCGGCTCTGGATGCGGGGCAGGAGGTTGGCGGTGGCAGCTGTGCCGCCGGTCAGCAGCGCACGGCACGGCACGGCACTGCATCCCTCCCTGCCGCAGCAGCGCTCGGCTCCTCTCGCTTCTCCCGCTGAAGCAACAGCCTGCCTGTAATTGCGCCTTATGCCCTCCGCCGATTTCAGTGGCGATTCTGCTGGCTACAGGATGGAGCTGTCAAGATAACATTGTAATTGATGCTCTCTTAAAAAAATGAACTATGCATACTGTAATTCGTTATGCCATTTTATACAGTCTTAACTGTTTAGTTTGAAAAATGATGCACTTTTCCAACACAGGATACTAAAACAGGTTTAAATGTTTTAAATATATTTATCTAGGTATGTTCATAATATCTATTCATGGTGCCACGAGGGCAGTGGTACGAAACTAGTGGTTAGTAATATTAGAAAATAATGTGATGGGTTTGGGGCTTCAATTTCTGTCCTAAGGGATGTTGAAGTGTCCAGTGACTGAAAGGCATTTTTATTTAAAGCTCCTCGAGGGACATGAGAAAAATAACGCACTGCATATCTATAGCACCTTTCACCTTGAAAAATGCCAAGGCATTAACACATCATGTCTTCAGGCCTCAGTCCTTTCAGGAGCTTTTCGCAGGGCAGTTCCATCATGTGGATCCATTTACAGGCGTGGGTTTGGTACATGTGAGTCTTTTCACCAATCACTAAACCATGGCAGTGCTAACACAAAAATATGCTATAAAATTAGGCAGAGATATCAATTCCACATTAAAGTGGAGTGAAAAGTGCTCCCTCCTGAATTGCCAGTGCCAATATCGGTAGAGTTGAAGTCATCTCCAACACAAGTACTTACCCAGACTGATGTGCTTAACTTGTATCTGACAAAAACAACTGCATTTTATAGCTGTGGGCTATAAATAGCAGAAAATTGTGATAGTTTAATTACATACTAAAAAAAGCATAGAAAATTACTTCAAAAATACTAAAGCCAATAGATTTTCGAAGCGTTTTAAATGAATCACAGTTCTTTCTCATGTTTAACACTGAGCCCTTAGATTGTCTCAATATCTTTCCATTTATAAGCCTTAAAACTTTTCAAAGATGCCATATTGTTCTAAAAAATTGTACACACAGAAAGACATGTGCGTGGGACTTCTGGAGATGAGTTGCAGTAATAGAAAAAGTAAGCTCATTTTTAAATATAAATTTTAATAAAGAATTTCCTTCATTTTAAAACATAGTTGCCATGATTACTTTTTGAGGTTGAGAAGTGTTTTAATATGCTCATTTTCCACCATCTTGAGATAGTTTCAGTACAAGAGGTTTGCTCGCCATTAGATGTCAATGTTATCTTAATTTATACCTCCTTCAGATGTGCAAGTTTTGGCAAAAAGGTCTACGGAATATAGGCCATCTAAAAGTATTATATTCATAGTAAAATGTGTTGTCAGTGAGAGTGCTACAAAGATAAGAGAAGTAATAGCCCACTAACTTTTACAACATTTGCCAAAGCAGAAGAAAGGCCCAAAAGAGGCAATGCAGCTCCATTTCAGAGAGTGGAAATTAAAAGTCACTTAGATACTCAAATCTAATCCAATGTTAAAGGGAGATACAACATCTAAAACCTTCCAATAGGTTACCCACTGAAACTAGAGGTGAAGGTGTCGGGGAAGCCTTTCAGCTCACCACACTGCAAATCAGCTCAGAGATGTGACAGAAAATGGTCTCGGCACCAGTCTCCAAATGCTGTTATGATGCCATTATACTATAAGGACAAGGGTTAGAAAAGGGAGACACTTTCATAATTTAATGATTTTGAGACCTGTTACAATCTCATTACACTAAACTGCATGACAAGGCACAAAGTGAGAAAGAAATTCTGTCTGGCTGTGAGAACAATAGAACAGTGGATTACAAAGATGCACTAATGTGTGTCGGGGAATTCTGCTGGTGTGGTGAAACAATAAACCTACTTCTTTTAATTGTCCACTTTTCAGTAAACTATAGCCTTCATCATTTGTACAGATCAAAGCTAGTTCTTTCGAAAATAGGAAAGCATATATATGGAATGTGGCATCCTGAGCAATATAGTGGGGCTGGGGTATCTGGGAGGGATTTGTTGCTGCACATTTGTGCACACTGACTGCAGGTAGTGTCAGAAACTGTATGATGTCACATTTCTGATGGCTTTATTTTATAACATATATATTTATTCACTTATCTTGAGTAGCGTAATACAAAAGACTGTTTGCTAAGTGAGAACAAAAGAGCTTGTACCCATCCCTAGCTGAATTTTCAGGAGTGTTAGGACAAAGACTTGCTTTCACTACCTGTTAATGACCTATAGTCAAATATCACAGAATCACAGAATATTCTGAGTTGAAAGGGACACACATCAAAGTCCAGCTCCTGATAATTTTGATGTTTCATGTATCCGTGTTCCTGAAAACAGTGTCAGACTGCTTTCATCATTTGGTAGTATCTTGGACAGTCTGAACCCTGTGTTTGTGCTGAATGCCTCTGCCTCCAGCAGGCTTGTTCAGGGAGTGAGATGGTGGCACTTGGTAAGCAAAGGATGCTGAGATTTGGCTGTCAGTGGCAAAGCCTGTTGTGCAGAGCCGATAATGGCATCAGGTGCAATGAGCCCTCCTGTGCAGAGTTTACGGGAGGTGAAGGCTCAGTTCACTGCAGAGGCTGGAGGGTTCTTCTTTCAGGTCAGTGCAATGCCTGATTGCTGAACATATCAGGGAAGCTTGGATGGCCACTGTGCACTCTGACCATAAACTGTAACTAGATAAATCAGGCAAAGCTTCTAGCACCATCAGCAAATGTGCTGGTTTTGCTAAAATTTATCAGTGGATATAATTATAGCACGTGTTTTGCCATGACTAACTTTGGAAGATCCCCTCAAGCTCTTTAGCAATCATCTGATAGGTCACGTTTACTTGCAGCGTGATCAAAGAGAGCTGAGCTCAGTTTTGTAGCTCGCTGTGTTTCCATTTAAGATGTAAGAGTCCATTTCACCATTCACAGTCTTACTTAATGCAGCAGTCTCTGCTGGAGCCTGGAAGGTTTCAAATTCTGTGTTTGTACAAGTTTTGCTTTTCCTTTGTGAATCAGGAGTTTCATTCATTAAAAAGCTGAAACACCGCAACACTTGGTGCCTGGGCCCAGATCACAATCCGAAACACAAGGCACCACGTGTGTGCTTCTCCCTGAATCATTTATCACTCATTCAAAGCATAGGAAATGGGCACCTCTTCCAGCTATCCATCACCAGCACTCAGAGCTAGGTGGTCTGAAGGCTAGTGTCACAGCACAGGCACGGTGCTTTGCCTCAGTGTTGGAGGACACGGTGCTTCAGCAGAAGCCAGGGGGCCAGCACTGGGCAGCACAATGCCCAGCAACAGCAGCAGCAGCAGGAGCAGCAGGAGCATGCTGCACACAGTAGGAGCCCCAGGGAAGGAAGAGGCAATGCCTGAATTTAGGCACTAGCAGGATGAGACCAGCAATTAGCAGAAGTGGGCTCTGCGGTTAAGTTTTGGATTTGGCTTTCTAAAGTCTGATGAAATCCTGATTTATGCTGATTTTTTTGTTTGTTTGTTTATTTGCCCTTTCTCTTCAGTAAGCAGCAGCAGAGATTGTTTGGTTTTTTTAAGAGAATTTCATTAAGTGAATAAATTTTCTTCATTCTCCAGAAGTGGCTTTTCCTCACTGCTAAGACTATCTCCAGGTATTAGAGCGGGGTTCTCTGTCAGGGTCCCATCGTAGGCTCAAAAAAGGATTTCCTCTCCTAGTGTGGTGTAGGAACGGAAGGAGTGCCTTGCCGCCCCACTCTCCTTTGTGAAAAACACTTCAACCACTGGAATAATCATTCATTCTAAATAGCAGGACTCCAGTGTTTCAGCCACAGCAGGGAGCTTCATGAATGTCACTACAAAGCACAGTTCATGCATGTGGGAAAGATGGGGTATGAGAGGAGGATCACCATTATGCCAGCACAGTCTGAGTGCATTAAAAATACAGTATAACAAATGTGGGATGAAACCATCAAAGGTATGGATGTTTTACAATCCAAATGAAAATATGTCATAATATGCCTGTATACATCCTGTTGTTTTGAATGACATATATTGGAATTGTGGAAGTTTCCCTATAATTAATAAGAATATTCTTAGTCATACTGCCCAGAAAAGAAAAAGTATTGCTTTACAGATTGGTTAATTTAGAATACAAAGAGAAGGCTTTGAAGATGAAAAGAATAATGCTTTCCGCATCTATGACTCTTCCTATTCAAAAATGGGAGGCTGCTCAGCAAACACTGATGCTTTCAGACTTGCACCATCTTTTTGAACTAAATGTTGGCTTTATTTTGCTTATTTGGAAAATGAGAGGGAAAACATGACACAGTCATAGTCCCGCCAGGAAGTCTGTGACAGAACCACACCAGAATAACAACCAGTCAAGTGCACTACCCTGCCTGTAAGCACTGAAGATATTACTTGTATGGTTCATTGTGAAATGCTTTCAGGCATAGTGCCTGCAGTAGAAATACCCTTATGTTTGTAAG